AGATGAGCCGACTCCAACAGAAACTTCTGCACCAACGACTTTCACCCAAAGCGCTGAATTGGTGGAGGAATCAACAGAGGAACAAAAGCATTCAACTGCATTGGTTGAAACTCATATACAAGAAATCCAACGACGGTTGTCGGATGTGAGTGCTGATGAAGTAAGCTTAATGAAACTTTCATTGAAATAAGAATGAACTGTCACATTTGTGTTCACAATAGAAGAAGTGAATAATGTGTGGTACAATGATAAGGGATAATCACAGGACAATTTCGCTTAAGGTGTAATTGTTCAGTGGTGTGAGTTGAAGTGAGCTCCGATCTTCGTGAAAGCATTGAGGCATCGAATGTCTAGTGACGCAACATGAAATGCAACGTTCAGTGCTTTACTTTAGAGCATGTTGATTTCAGGCAAATAACAGTCATCACGTTTGGTCACCTCGTGATGGCATGCGTCGATTGGGTCATCGCAACTCGACAAGTTCATCGACTAGTGGAGACACTTTGAGCAAGACTCCGTCGAGTGATTCATTAGCTGGCTATGAAGGACCCAAAATGGGTGAGCCTGGTAAACCGGGTACAAGAGATTTGGATTTTTCGATTCGTAGATTGAATCTCAGGAAACAGGTAAATTCAAGGATATGATATCAGTTTTCATTTAATCACGAGAGCTGTAACGCTAAAAGTCGTCAAATGAACTGTTGCCAGATGAATTATGCGAATCTATTTATGGAAACTTAAGTATTTACATCAAAAAACTATTGTTCAAAATAATGATAACAGAACGTCCCGATCGAGTTATCAATAAAAGTGGTTCATGTTTTCAGGTTGAGCGCGAATATGCTCGTTTTAGACGGGAACGCGGTCTCTCACCACTATGCATTCCATTCTTCCCACCACCCATCCCAAAGAAGGTTTCTGTTCTATACTGCGATATTTTCACTGTCCTCCTCGATTATCTTTATGTTCAATGATCAGTTGTGATCGCCACATGAATCTGATCATTTCCATTCTTACAGAATAAATAAATCGTGTTTACAGAATATATATATATAATAAATATATCGCGTTCACCATTATTTTACCGAATTTATTCTTGTAGAAACGAGCGTCTGCAATGTTGCGCAGTCAATCGATGCAACAATCGAATGATTTTCTGAATCGTGTTGTGCCCAAGCATAGACCGAATCTTTTGAAACCCTGGCATATTTTCTCGAACGTCGGTTTACTGGCCGCAATTCGTGATACGGTCTCACAGGGCGTTCTAACACGGTCAACAATTCTGCATAATTCACCTATGACACCGCCTTCAACTCCCCTCATTTACAGGCGATACACCAACGGTACTGCCGGTTGGTTTTGGCTTTCTGTTGCATTCATTTGTACAGTTTACTTGCAAGAGATACTTAAAAATACGCTATGCTTTTTCAATTTCCTAAACACGAAGACCGGTCAAGTTTTTCATAGTTCGATCCCAAAATCCTTAGTTAACCGCGATTCAGATGTTAATAATGCAGATCTGATTTTTCTCCGATAATATTTCACAGTTTCCTTGATAATCCAGAAAAAANCCTGTATCTTTTGTGTAAGAATGAGTTATTTCGTTGCAACGTTTCAGTTCGTCTTCAACAGCGACTCGCACCGAGATCAGCGACAAGTTTGGTGGATGCCCTCGGCTTGAGTGTTCCTCTGCAAATGCCAATCATTTCGGATCGAACGAATACCAATAATAACTACAGCGCTTTTCGAACGATAACGAAATTATCCGATTTGAACGAGGCAAACAACAATAACAGCAACACGTCAATAAAGAGTGCTCCGTCTTGACGACAATTTCATCGCCCTGGAATACAAACCAGGATCATGTCCTTCAGAAGCAGTCCAATGCTTTCTGTTCTCACTTCCTCGTACATCATCGTCCTCCTCAAAGCAGCTGCTCATATGATCTTATTAGGAAAAGTATCTCTAATTTTGGTCGTTTATCGATTATTTATGAGAATGTTTTCAGTCCCTTCGTTATTTGCTTTTGTGCATTTGTCAATCTTGAAACTGATTTTTAAAATAATTTGATCGTGAAATCAAAAGACATTGGCAGTTGAGCTAATCTTATCGAATTTTTAGTCCTTTGATATTGTTGATTTGTGACCGTCTTGCATTACCATTGCAGAAAGTACTTCGTTTCTTAAAACGAACAAATTTTCTCAGTTGTCGAACTGACTGATTTCGAAGGATCATTGAGGTCAGGATCTCAAAAAGAAAAACAGTATCCGCATGAGGATTTTGGTCTTGTCGTTGATTGATTATGCTGTTGTTACTATTAACGAACGGGTCATTACTATATATATATAAATGAGTTCTACTTTTACTGAAATGATAATATGATATAATATATGATGATATCCGATTTAGGGGTACGTCTCTACCGTTGATCAGATATATGTTGTGCCTCACTTGAGAGCGATATTTTGCTAGCAGCACGACTCAAATCGCCTACACGAACTCTTTTAAAGTCAGTGTGTTCGTTGAAGTATCATGCCAATGAAAATGGGTCATCAATCTAAATTTTCTCCCTGTTCCCTTTGCTAGCAAAATAATCGTGCAGTTTTAAAGAATTCTTCTCACTATAGCTAATATTCGTATTTATTGTCGTCTATTTGTAAATAATCTACTTACCGTCAAAATTTTCCTTGTTAATTGATTTTCAACAAACTCACTTTCATATCGTCACTCGTTTGTAGTTGTGCTTTTCATTTGATTGAAATTATCGCTTGTGCATTTTCAGAGCGTTATTTGATAGTTCGTTGATGTGATAATAACCGTTTGATCTAACTCTTTAAAGATGGATGCCTATTGATAAGTCATCTGGAGTCGAATAATGTGTATTAGGCACCTGATTTTTGGATGTGTACTTTATAAAACGATTTCACTTCCAAGTTATCCTTTTTGGTTTCTAGTACAGAAGCCAAAAGCTAGAAAACGAATTTTTCGGTTTCCTGTCTGATTATGAGCTTACCTGATTGCACGAAGTTTACTCGTTTCAGTTATTCACTTGATTCCGTCATAATATTAAAAGTATTTTTCATAAAATTTGGCTGATTATGCAAAATTTTCATTGAGATGTAAAATTTTCATTGAGTCATTTATTAATTTATGCAAGATTGTGTATTCACATCAAAATCCCTTCAGTATCAATGCCCATTCAATTAATTTTTTATGTGCGTTACTACTAACACTAATGCTCATTCAAACAGATTCTTTAATGATCTAGTGTCAATTATCGCAAGACACAGTATGTCTGTCGTAGTTCAGTGTGTTCATTTTAAGCGATTTTCCATTGAGTTTTTGCAGTCTGTGCAAAGTTTATCAGGAATACATCTGAATTGTTGGAAAAGCTGTAAGGAATGCTACTGATGAACAATTTTGAGATCAGAGTTTCTGCTGAGAGGATGACTAGAATCGACTGTTTTTGTGAAAACTTACTGTGTGCTTGCAATATTGTAGACTTGCTCGAACAAATATTTAATTGCTAAAAGAATAAAATGTTTATAAATCCTTGCGTGTTGAAGTTTCTACGATTCCATCTCGCTTCTGCTAAAGAGTGCAATTCTCAGAATCTTATTTCTTAAATTTCAGCACATTCGCATCAGCTGAGAAACATGCATGCGCTTACCGATATCTCATTCTTTAATATTTCAGTGATCTCTTATTGGGATTCAAAATTTCAAACTGAAATTTTGTTTCGGCAGTTTATCTCTTTTTGATTGCCGCCTAACTAAAGTTGCTGTTTGCTCTCATAAAGACAAATCCAACTGGTGATTCACTGATGAATCTCAACAATGATAAGCGAATAAAAATACTTTGGGATTGAATGTAGGTGATGCGAATGGTTTTTGTGAAACACGCAATGAGGCTTATTTAGTTCAAAAAATAGTCAATCTCTTAATCGATGATTGAGGAGGACGGACCTCGCTGAAGAAGAGGTTATGACAGAATTGTACGATCTCAAACTCTTCTTTTTTTCTTACAAAGAACCAAGAACAGTGGAGTTTGGTTCGGTTGATTGAGCTCTGTTTTTGTGGAAGATCAAAAAATCAAGAAACTCGGTCATGACGTCAATCAGTGCATCTTCATCAACTATCGCAAGTTCTCGGAATTCCGATCAACCGTTAAGAATTATTGGGTTTTGAAAATTACACTCATTGAAAGACGTCTGTTGTCAGAATTGGGTTTACGATGAGGAGAGGTGGCGTTTTGTTCAGCTCTTCTGGGAAATTATTATGTTCAGCTCTGGAAATCATACAGAATTCCGGACCTGGGTTTCTGGGTTAATTGAGAATACTGAGCAAATGTAATGGCGATTGTTCGAAATATTTCTAAATATTGTTCACAGTAAATTGTTGATTTGTGATCTAAATTCCAAGGGAACGTAGTGTTTGAAGTGAACGTCGCTCAATGAATTTCGTATTTTCGTTCCATTAGTAACGTTTTTTGAAATTGAAATCGATGTGTTAACGTAATGTGCATAAAATTAACACAGTTGACTTTCACAGTGCAAAATGTCCAGTTCATCGAAATGCTTTAGCACTGCGTCTTCAAAGATCCATAATTTGCTTACGTCCATTCATTTCTAATCAGTCGCACATCATCAAATTGTTGTATCTGTTGCATGCTCACGTAAATAAGCGATCGACTTACTCAATTTTATTTCATTCCGAATAAAATAATTTGGAAAAATCAAGTTCGTTTTCCGAATCATATGATGCACAGTCTTTGAATAAGATAGATCGATGGGTCCAAAAATTTGTTCTCGCTCTGTTTGTTATTGTTATTAACAGTCAGTTTTTTCAAATTATAAGGATAATAATTCAAATTCAATTTTTTTTAATCGAATAATATGACTTTCAATAAATTGTGTTTTTGATCAAATTTTCAGTGAAAAGCATTCAACAAAATATTATGAGGTATTTTGGATTTTTGAAAAAATCATCGAGTCGGTTCGGAATTTCGTTGGTAATGCATTCCGATGATAAAAGTTGATAAATATTAATGGATATTGCTATTTGAAAGCGCATTTTTAATGGTGCTATTTGGTTGGTACGGCAAGGAACTGAGTGATATTCTAAATTTTTCTACGTATCAATGAAGATGCAGCTCGAAGTCTTTTCACTTGATCTGATGAGAAGAATATCGCGAAATTGCACCTCTTTGATTGATTACTTCTTCGGAATTCAACAACTTCAATTCTGTCCAGAAAATGCTTTCATATTGTTTCTGCTCATTGCATTCATTCTACCTCCCTCGTCATGAGTTAATGGCTTAGGATTTTTTTAAAAGTACTTCTCAAGAAAGACGTCAAATTTTTTTCTTTTGAAATTTTTTTCTGATTGTTTCCAACCTTTTCAAAAGCACGATTGAAGCAGTTGAAAAACTGTAACGCAGCTGTTACAGTTTTACAANCTTTCATAATCCGATTTTTGCGTACGCGATTTAGATCGATGGCGCCAGTGCTTAATGCCAGTGTCGACAGACTGTGACCGTGCGAGAACGATGTTGCGTCTATTTTAACCGACTAGCCGTACAAACATTCACTTTTTATTATCGTTCCAAAGAACTGCATCAAAAAACAATTCGTTGCTTAGAATGGATCATCAGTTACTCTGTTCTTACAGTGTTTAAAACATTCTTTGATATTTTTCGTTCCCATCGAAAAGCCGAATAATTTTCCACTAACGTATGTAACAAAAGTTCATCCATAGAGGACGATATTATTTTTGGCATGAATTGGAGCCGTCTTGTCATATTTTTATATTTACTGTACTGTCTCGGTTCATTAAGCAGAGAGCAGTAATGATTTTAATACATAAGAAATTCTATGGCACTTAGTAAATCACTGAAACAAGTTTCGGTTTCCCTTTAGTATTTGCAACCGCGAGATTTTTTATTATAATTCCTCATTCAGTACACAATGTTTTCCATCGAAGTTTGATAAATGCTTCTTTAAGTCGATTAGAGATGAGTGATGCTGATCAAGTCATTGTCATTTAATGTTTTAAGCCGATTAAAGAGAGTACTTGCCTGTTCCATATCGTTCCGTACCTTCTGATATTACTCAACGAGCGATCAAGTGATAAGGCGATGATCACCTTTTCCATTTCATTTGACTGATAAATTCCTCACTTTGGAACGATCTGTTTGAAATGCAATTTTGAACGCAGCGACGTATCAAAATTCATTCATGAGTGTAACTGTAGGTATATAGCCAACGCTCAGGGATGCCATTCGTCACAACGTTATTGTTTGTGCATTTAACATGTGTATGTCATGTGACTGAGGGAGAAAAATAATGTCAGAAGGGAAGAATGAATATGACCACGCACACATCTGATGTGAGTAAGCCTATTAATCGATCTCTAACCTACGACAATTTCATGGCAACAATCTTCGTTGTTGATCGATTCGATCGGGCCAGCGCTCACTTCCGATTTTCGAAAGTTTCAAATTCTACTCAATGAGCCGTTTGAACGTTTCACTCGCAGGAACTGCTCTCTGTGAGCACACTTTTCTGTGATGTAATTATCAGTTTAAATGCGTTAAACATGCGATATCTATGAATTTTAAGAGCCATACGGCGTTTGTGAACATAGCAACAAGTTTGCTATCATTTTTACCGACAAACAGCTCTTTCGAATGTGTTTCGTGTTTTTGCGTTTCAATATGAGTCGTATGAGTTGTTTTCTTGACGCCATGCTTGGTTTTGTTCTATATTCTCTGGATTTATTCAATGTGAATAATTGGTTTTTTGCGAGTTTTTGTGATATCTCTAACGATAAAAAAACGTTCGGTTCTGGTAGAGACACACGAACTAACCGTGCGACATTCGTTTTCGAGTGCTCTGCAAATGTTCATTTGTGCTTGGATTTTACTCGGAAGAAGATTAGGTAGACCTGTTCTAGTGAGCATGTAGTAAGCTTCGCTATTAGTCTTTGTTCTAGTAAGATTTGATCTAGTAAGCTTTGCTCTAGAGAGCAACTGTTTCTGAGGTTTTTATTGTGATCCATAAAACGCTCATGTTCAGCAGTTGGGCGTAAATCTAACAAATTGAGTAAAAAGGTCTAAAAATATGTTCAGATTACGTAACAGTTTGTGAGCAGAACGAAATTTTAGTCTCATTACCACATCAACCATCATAAGCGTGCAACATTTCAAGACAATTTAGAAGTAGATGACCCACCTGTTCTTATAAGTACAGATGCGTTTGATTTCGTGAAAAAAAAACTGATTTTTTTAACGGAGTACTTTGAATGCCGATGAATGAATCGCTATTCTATGTTCATACGATTAAGCACCAATCGATGTCCGTAAATTTAATTGTTATCAGTTCAGAATCATTTTCAGCGTTTACATAACGATGTCAACATCCTCGTCTGTCAACCGCACCGATCTACCGCCAGCGCAATGTCCTACCTGCCATATTCCTGTTTTGGGTAGAGATGAAAAATTTTGTCGAAAATGTGGATATAAAATGCTACATTGTGTCAAATGTAATGCAACAGTCAGGTGCATAAATACTTGTTCTTGAATGTTTCAATTGGACTTTAATTGAACGCTAATTGGTTCTGAGTGCAAATGCTAATTTTATAATGTACGAAACTCATAGCTATTCATAGTGCAAATGCACAGTATGCAAAATTGCAATTTCTAGTTCATCAATATGATTATACTGACTGAATTGAACGCATCATGATTGTCTTGATTCGTAGGAAAACGTGACGAATCAGTATGGGTGATTAATGTGAATCCTTCTTTCATCGAGTGTTTGTTTCTCAAAACACTGCTCCATATTTTGCTTTCGATCTGTGCTCTCCGCTCGTATGCAACAAGTTGTTTTGTTAGAAACTTTGTAAACTAATATAAAATCATTCGATGAACTAGGGAATTTACTATTAGTTGTTTTTGACATTTGCAAGTTATGGAATTTGAAAGTTGTTTGTTTATTTTAAGAGAAGGTGACAGTTATTGTACTGCTTGCGGCGCAAGACGATGCTGTATAATGGAACGTTGGCGTCAAGGAACGCTGCATCGTAGTCCATGTTTCGTTGGAATGGTAATTCTAGTTGTCGGTGCATCATGGCTAACGCTTCGTTATGCACTTCGAAAACATCTCTAGAAGAGTTTCGACAAAGCCTAGACATCAGTCAATATTACTTCTCGTCACCACTCAACATCCACTCCTTCAGATCACAGTTCGGAACACCATCCTCTCAACTCTACAGCACTGCCCATCTCTCATTGTTCCCTCAAGCTCCCATTGTTCATCCATCCCAACTTCATTCATGTAAATTTCGTCAAATTCGTTCGATGTCTTCTTTGAAAGTTCAGTTGTTGAGTAGTAGTTAATTTTGTTCAGCAATCATGATTAATGGCGAATGTTTGAGAAGCAATGGATTGTTTGCAAATGAAAAAATTCCGTCTTTTTAATGCGTTCCCCACTAATGCTCACACAATTTCCACGTTGAAGCATATACGGTTGAGACGATAATTGCCACTCCCATTTGCACATCGTAATCGATAACGTCAAGTGAATCGATAGATACTTTTTTGCATTCACATTCACGGCCAAACACTTTCATCCTGCGGTTAATGAAGTCTCCATTTAGTTTAAGAACTATATTGTCAGTCAAGCAAAAGCCGCTAAAAGAGAAATCCAGTGGGAAAGGTTATTTGCTGATGAAAAAAGGACTTCATGAGAAAACTGAATTGAGGAAATCAACAACTCGAAGAATTTCTTGCAAAACAAAATAGTAGTTTTTTTTCGACTTGTAGTGATTCTCTTCTTCAAATAGAAGAAAATATTCATCGTAGATTTTATGCGCTATTATTTGGTGCATATTTTCACACTGAACATCTTTATTTCAGACAAATAATTTTTTTTNTTTTTTTTGGTGCAAATTTACTTCTATTCATCTGATCCATTTCACTAGGTCCCACTTAAAAATAGTCATGAATGTTATTCTCATCTTTACAACAGAAACCATGCATGATCTGTCGTCGTGCAGTTTTTGTTTGTTGTTTCTGTTATGATGAAATCTTGAATTTTCGTTTGTACTGTTTAATTTCTCTTGTATTTGTTTATTCTTCTAGTGTACAATACTCCTCCGTTGTGTAAGAAATTCCTCTCATCACACAAAAAATCGTTTTTGCCTTAAAAACTTTCTCGATAACCTCTTCCCTTTGCATCCGTGCAACGAAAAGAAGAAGCTCCAACAGAGCATTCGGAATTTCGTACAATCTCGAATTTTTTTTTTGCGTTTATCAAAACATTTGGTGTTATAGGAGTATTTAGAAACACTTGAAGAGTAAGAAAAACAATCATATATCAAAAAAGTCATTTTGAGAAACACTGAACGCTGGCTAATTCATCAATTGATCGTTTCTGCGAAACGAAAGTCAGTATTTCAACGTTCTTTGAATTCATCAGATTCGAGATTATACGTTCTTTTCCAACGAATTTCTTACATTTAGAATATTGTGAACTTCTCTCTGTATAGTATCAAATTAATTTCATATCATATAGTTTCAACATCTCATATCATATAGAAGGAGATTATTTAGCACTTATTTCTTCAGTGTTTGTAAAATTTTTAGCTGCCATCGAATGAAAGATTATCTCTTCAAATTGACTTTTCACCGCAATATATTGACGATCAATAATAAAAGCATATCTATCAAATCTTCAGATCAGAATTCACTAAAAAATCTGAATTTGTTAGAAAATTTGTTCTGTTGAATGAGCGAAGTAATTGATGAGGCACTGTTGAACCATCAAGAAATACGCCACATGTTCCAAGAAAGTTTCATAAAGAGTTTCATTACAAGAAATTAATCTGCACGATTTTTCAAACAAGTAATCATTTTGCGATAAATCCCAAAACTAGAAGAGTTGTTCGGATACAAACCGAAATCGTGATATTTTAAACATTTTTTAAACATTTTTTTGATTGTGGAGAAAGGAGCACAGGAGCATTACATTAGTACAATGCTGACTTAAGCGGATAACAAATTTAACAGATATTTTAAACAACCAGTCAAAAATTCTTTGCAATCATTCAATTGTTTCAATTGTTAATATCAATTTTTTCGCTCGGTGACTGTCTAATGGATCATAGAATCGTCGCAGTAGTCATTTTATGCGATATCTTTCGTTTCATTCAATAATTTCGTTTAAATGCAAACTGATTCATCATTCGAATAGTTAGTCTCATTTTCTACCATATTCTCAATGATGCATTTTATATTCAATGCATCGTTGAGAATATTTATGATACATGGTAGATTGAATAGTCATTGAGAACAGTAATAGCTCTCTTCCTTGTTCACTTCTCTTCGTCCGTTCAAAATCAATCGTAAATGATTCATGTTGGTGTACGATTTTATCACTTTTACATTTAAAAAATGAATGAAAGAGAAACGCACTAGTGAAACACATCGCTCATCGATTCGAAAAAATAATGGTTGGGCGGTTCATAGTGAAGCCGAAATCGTATTTGAAAAGGGAAAAAAGTGATTTTTTTCAGCAACACTTTCATCGACTGATCGGAATTATCTCATATACAATTGTTCGGAAACAATGATGAATGGGCCACATAAAATGTAAAAGCTAATGCAAATGGCAAGCGAAAACTAGAAAATATCCCAATTAGAAGGTTTCTGAATGTAATGCAAGTGTTTTTCACGTTACTTTAACTCTAAAGCGCAGATGTTTCAACGAGGACGCGACGAGAACTGCCCGAAAATGTTTTTCATGCCGACGTGCACAAATCAAAAGCGATAAATCTACGTTCTCGTGAGCACTAAAAAATTTGTGATTCAGTCTTTTTCTGACTTCAAGTGTACTAGGAAAGTGGTTCAGTGATGACTAGCAGCTTGCACGAGAGATGTTTTCGGAAAAAAAAAACTTAGGGCTGAATTAAAAACACTTCCTTTACACTGCCACAGTAACGAATTCCATTCGTTTACTTAATTTCATTGCTAACACAAATCCCGTTCCAACTAATTCCATCAGTCCCAAAGACAAAAGAAACGGAAGAAAATTTGGGGAACATATGACAATGTAATAGATAAATTAGTTATGAAATGCTCAAGGACAACTTAGAACGATAAGCTGAATAAGAGAATGAACGCAAGAACGAAAATAAATAAAAGAGAAATGTTTATTAATTGTAAGCAATTGGCAGAAGCACAAAATAACTGGGGCATTAACGGAATAAATCATTGCAGAAATGAGTGAACAATTGATTACACAAAATAAAATGGTAATATGCAAACGTTGGAAGGAAAAACACCAATCAGAGAAAGTCATATCACTGAAATTCTGATGAGCCTCAAGAATATCATTTGAAAGAAAAGCAAAATTTTCTGTGAATGGGAAAAACCAATCGGTTGGAATCACAAATCGTAATTCTGACGTTGAGTGTTTATCAAGAACATGAACAGATAGGTGGCTTTGGGAGTTTCCAGTCAAAAATAACGATGAATATCATCAATCAGAACATCCGAAGTGAAACGGAGATCAATGGGATCACAAATCAAGATTCTCTTCAGAAATAAATGGTAATAATGCAAAATTTGTCACCGAGTTAAACTTTTCGTAATTCTTGAAACAGGCTTGCCCTCTCACTGCTTGTTGCCTCCAACAGTACAGTCGCCGCCACCCTATCCTCTAGTTTGCATAAAATCCAAGCAAATCAAATTCAAAAATTATTCAGATCCAACTATTCGAAAGAATAAATTCTACTGCGCTCTGAACATTTTACACAGTCATCCTCACTCCAGTACACTCATCCAATTCAGTTTCCATGAAAGTTTACCGAAGCAAAAATTCAAAGATATTCAATCACTAAATTCGTCACAATATCAGTTAAGAAGATTCTCCTCCCTGGGCGAATAGCTTTGCTCAGATAACACACAACGTTTCTTATTGGCAATTACTTTGCACATGTTAAAGAAAACAGCAAAATATGAATGCATAGACGAAACAATTATGAGGGAGTAATTTAATTCATTGCGAATCACTCTGGAACAATCGACGGGGACACATAAGCGGGGTGAGATAAACAACAGATGACAACAAACAGCAACGGAGATGACAAACAGAAACTGTTCTGATATAGTCCGCACCAAAGCATCGCAAAGAAAATTACGCCAATCAAAAAAAAAAACAATTTTTGTGCAAATAATATCGAGAAAAACGGAATACGAGCTGGTTTTATAAAAACCATTCAACGGGAATCAAAATGAACGTATTTCGCAAAAGTCGTATCAAATGAAACATCCTTCTCACATGAAGCGCATGAAACCAGTTTCTTACATGACCACTGAACAAATCAGTACGAACCTGAAACGCGAAAACGTTGATAAGTCACGAGATTAATGGTTTGTGTTGAGGTTTTGCTTCAATTATTTGCAACAAATCAAATATTGTACCTAACAGAAACGTGTAAACATTCCACCACCACTTAAATAGCGCTCTGCGTTGTAACTACACAAATAAACAAGGGATTAGGTACATTTTGCTTCAACTGATTAGAAAACCGTAAAAAGTAGCTTCTTCCCCCAGTAAAACAATCTTATGAACTGATTAATTCCACCACCTAAATAGCACTTTACAATGTTCTATTCAAT